TAACCATGCCAGCAGGTTCAGCCCACCAAAGAGGCAGAAAAATGTTTTTTGTTTTATGTAGCTGGGCTCTTCCACTTATTTTAATTCAGCTATTGCCTTGAAGATCTACAGAGTACTACTGCCAGTGTGCAAAGGAAACAGGAAGGCACGGCTCAAGTAAGCAGGCACTTACTTAAGTATGGCATAAACCATAGTTCTTTTCAAAAACTATTTGTTGTACTTAAACCATTTCCAAACCAGTTTAAGCATTAATCAGTTTCAGAGTTTCCTTCTAAACTTCAAGGGAAAACTTCAAATTCTTCACCTCTTAACTTGCATTTACAATCATTTTTGTACTCATACTGTGTCGAGAAACTTAACGTGTATCTCAAGCTGCACGCAGGTTCATCACGTGACCAGTAATACTGGGGCTGTGGTGGGTGTCTGGGACGCTGGGTCACCCCATGTTACAGCTGCAGAACAAAAGGAACCAGCGGGGCCTGCTGGGTCTACACTGCTGGCATGCCTGGGAATCCACCCACGCGTCCCATCCAGCCCTGCAGCGCAGCACAGTAACGCCCCAAGGAGTCGCCACTGCTGTATCTACTGACTGAAACAACCCTACCTCCCCCTTGGAGCATGCCAGGTGTGCAGCGAATCTTCTCATTCTCTGATATACACAGATTCTCTAAGAGTCTCAGCACCCCAGAAGTTCTCCCTATCTGTCTTTGACTCTAGGCTTCAGCAATATTTACATCAATGTGCTCTACTGTCAAGGTATACACCACGTAATTGGTGCAAGGGCCAGTTTTCAATTTTGGTACGTATCCCACTGTTCTGCTCAATTTTCCTGAGTTTAGAAGTGTCTTTTCCATTCCACCTCTGTGCAGTAAATAATTTCAAGCTTTTTAACGTCCTATGCCAAATTTTTGGTCTCTGAAGTCTTCAAGAATGTTCCTGACAGTCAGCAAGTCCACAAAAAAGTATCACTGATTACACCATCTACAGAAATACCACATTTTTAAAGTTTTAAATAGCATCCTGTAATTTTCAATTTGACTTTGTAGTTAACATTCTTTTAACAATGTACTTAAGAAATTGCCTAGATTTTAAAAGACAAAAAAAAAAGTCTAATCACAAGCACAACTATGTGAAAACCTAACTACTACTTCCTCCAATACCATGTATTACTATCAGAGTTTGAATCGTGTATTGCTAAGCTTTCAACACAAATAATGGTACAACTGGAAGCAAAAGCAGGTTAATATCCACCGAAGACACATTCTCTTCATCAAATCTTCCACGTTGTACAAAGTTTTACCCAACCTTCACCCTCACACAACAGTAAATAACAGCAAGGGTACAGAATGCATTACCTCCTGTGTTTTGTTCCAAGACACCTTTTCCTAGGCCAATCGACGACTCCAGCAAGGAAAATGAAACACAAAACTTTTGCTTGTGTCCTCTACCAGAAATCTCTACCAAAACATGTGGGTAAGCAGTAGTAAAAAGAAAACTGGAAACCTAAGAGGGAAGAGTTTTCATCTCCAGAAGAAATAATTGTTTGATGTAAGACAACTCCCACACCCTTCCCCCTGCCCCAAAAATGAGAACCACAATTAGCCAGTCCAGATTATTTATAAGGAAATTTCTATCCGCAATCTTTCAGCATTTTTACCTCACTGCTTCAAAACACCAGTTATTTAGACATTTTCGAATGAACATTTTGATGAAAATAATTTCATTTTTTTGCATTCTCTTTCTAGTCATTTCCTTAATTGTTCTTGTACTACACATTCCTCAGTATTAGTTTACCAACTTGCATACTTTATCTTTTCTTCTTGCAATAGATGCAGCATTAGGAGACACCAAATGGAAGAGAGCAGAAAGGCCCACAATTCATGCTTGCCATATTTAATTCCCCATAAACAGGCAGAGGACAGGAAAGCAGAAAACACCACCAAGAAAAAAACAATACTGAAATGCTGAAGGACCAGTTCTGCATCTTAAGAGGCTGCAGCTACAGCCCCGGATGGCTGCCTTCACAGAACACGCTGTCCAAAGGACAGCATGCTCAGAACAATAAGATGTTCACACTTTCTGACAAGATGTTGCCTTGATTTGAAGACATCCTACAGAATTCCAAGTCTCTGATAAAAATCATAGACACCTCAGAACAAAAGATAAAATACATTACAAAAAAGTTTAGTAATACCAGAAACAAAAATCCTGTTTTCCCATGCATTTGTTTTATGTTTGATGGATTCATGCTACAATAAGGTACAAACTCTGACCAAAGCTCTTGCCCATAGTCAGTTTTAAGATTTCCCTTCTATATAGACTCCCCAATAAGGAACAAGGTATAAGATCACATGGCAGCCTCCTCTTCAGGGCTGGAGGCACTTTTATATTTTCTTCCCATACAGAATTATTCTAATGCAGCTTTCAGAAACGTAATTCTTTCCTGTATCTCCAGTGTAATTATTTTGACCGATATATGGGGAAGAGAAACAGAAGAGGCAAAGGTACAGACCAACACTGCGTCTCCTTCCTTTGGGAAATCCAAATTAAAAAGTTGGAAAAAAAATTAGAATATTAAGTGTTACACAGCTTGATGTCAGTGGTATTAATATTCTTCCTATAACATATGCTTACAATCTACAGAATAATTTTACTTAACATCTCTAACACACCTTAACATCTTGCTTTTCCTTTTTAATCACCACAGAAGAAAAAAAGCTAATAGGAAAATGGAACTGGAATCTTACAATTTAGTTTAAAACACTGTAAATTGTAACAGTTCAACCTAGTCCGATGCACATAGTTTGTTTTTCAGCCCCGTTCTTTTCTGGCGTATACGTAACTGCACATCCGTACAGCAGCATGCTTTAGTTATGGCACATTATTACCTCTAGCTTCATGACAACTCGTACTGTCCACTGAAAACTCCTTTTCGTTTATTTCAAATGTGTTTGCTATCTTGGAGTCAGAACACAAACAGAAGAAAAACATCCCCCTAAAACTCTTAAATGTGACCCATAAACTTCAAGTACCTATGCAAAAACGAAACCCCGTAATTTCTTCTTAATTCAGAGGTCCTATAGTCCTTATCCTGGAATCAACAAACTAAAGCAAGCCTCCTCTCTGTTCTACAGAGTGAAGGTAAAATAGTTCTAATGCAAATCAGCAAAGTTAACAATCATATCCGATTATCAAAATAAATGCTGGAGATCACGATATCATGTACAGCTACACGATTTAGATTATGTATGGTAGTCTGCCACACATGGAATTCATTATTAAAGAGTACAGATGCTCCATTTTACAATCTTTTTCCAAGTACCCTTTCAGCACATTCCGAGCCTCAGCTCATTCTCACCAAGATTTCCATCCTCAATGGTCAGCACCACTTCATCCATCACCAAGGCCCGGAAATCGAGCTCCTCTTCACAGCACTTGGCCTTCAATGCTCTCAGGATCTCCTGCTGAGGGTAATCTTCTCTGATGCGACGGTCTGTTAAGAACCACAGCCTGGGAGCAACTGAACTGCACATCTTGGACTTGTCTTGCAATCTTCAAGGTCTCCTTAACTTCTAGATGGTGAAGAAGATGAGACTCTGTTAGCGTATACAGGTTCCTACCTTAATGTTCCCCACTGCACCAAGCCCTACTCCCTCTGCACAAGCCAGTCCTTGTCAATGGAGTGCAACTTCCAACCTCCAAGTGGGAAAGTAACATCTACGCCTGATCTGCAACAGAAGTAACAACAACAGAAACAAATCCATTTACATTCAACAGAATGTAAATGCTAAAAACCAGGTCTTGGTCCTCATCCCAGTTTCATCCACAAGAAGTACACAACCAACATAACTACTGGTATTGGTAGTAGCATGCCCCTTTCTTGACAGGACTAAGGCCACCTCTGAAGGCCAGAATTTCAGTTTCACAACTGGGATAATCCCTTACGAATGGAAATAGCCCCTCTCATAGATACTGCTAAAACACCAGTGACAGACTTGATGTATCCCTTTCCACCATATATGGAAGACAACAGAGTGTGCCAAATTCTTTATGTTAAAAAAGCGTCCAGAAGAAAGGAAGAAATCCATTAAAACAGATTTCTCCACATAGATTATTCAAGACTAAACTGCTCTTACAAATACTTCATATCTACTGTGAAATATATTTAGTATTACCCAGAACATATTAATGGAAAAACCAATGGAACAAGGGGCATCAACAAAATGTTAACTACACTGAACATTAATACATGTAACATAAAGCAAAATCAAGGTTTGAATCTCAGTGCTAGCGACTTCTTCCTCCAAAATTTTTTTTAAATAATCTTTATACATAAACAGCTCTAATGAATTCAGCACCAAAACCAGAGAAAACAGTTCAAATTCAAGAAATTCAGTGGTGTTAGAGGTGATAACAACAAGGTACTGCTCCTTTTGCTTCAAATACAGAGGACTTGGGCTATTTTTTACTATATACTAAAATACTTCAAAATTTGTAAAACAATTGCAGGTACAGTAATGGACTACTCGCACTTAAGAAAAATATGAAGCAGCATGGTGTAGGCAAAAAAGAACTCTGGAGAAAAATAGAGTTGTTTTCTCTGACACATTTTTAAAAGGCTGAGACAGTTGGGGTTGCTCAGCCTGGGGAAGGCAGGCTCCAGGGAGACCTTATAGCAGCTTTTCAGTACTTAAAGGGGGCTTATAAGAAAGATGGAGAAAGGCTTTTTAGCAGGATCTGTTGTGACCGGACAAGGGGTAATGGCTTTAAACTATAAAAGGGTAGATTTAGACTGGATATAAGAAAGAAATTTTTCACAGTGAGGGTGGTGAGACACTGGCACAGGTTGCCCAGAGAGGCAGTGGAGTCCCCATCCCTGGAAACATTGAAGGTCAGGTTGGATGGAGCTCTGAGCAATCTGGTCTAGTGCTAGATGTCCCTGCTCATGGCAGGGGGGGGGGACCAGATGACCTTTAAAGGTTGCTTCCAACCCAAACTATTCTATGATCCATGTTAAAATAAAGAAGTAGAAATAATTGTTTTCACCAGTATAGCTCACAAGTTTCAAACAGAACTGAACTCTGGGATAGAAACGGGAGTTTCACTTGGTAGTCCTAATGACAGGACCTGACATCAGCAGAAAATGTAATGCTGAGAGACAATAGGTATACAACTGCTTTCATTTAATATCACAAGGAATTTTAGTTTCTGCAGCAGGTCTTGGGACAAAAGGATTGCTGGGCTACAACCACAAGAACAAGTTGATTTTTTTTTTATAATTAAAACACAAGGTTTTTCTTTTAGTACAGCTTTTTCTTAACAAGAAGATAAAAATTTAAGTGGTCATTTTTATTCCTGGTACTGAGAACCATAATGACAACAAGCAAAGACTGTGACTTTCCCCATTGCTTTGGTAAATGACAAGCAACATTAAAGCCAAGGACTAAAGTTCTTCACGCTAACGTATTGAAAGAAAGCAGAAGCTAGGGAAAGGCAATCGCAGACCAGCCCCTGACAGCAGTCAAAATGCTCAAGATAAAGCAGGAAAAGCAGTGTTTGCTCCCTGCAGGAAAACGGGTATGGGAGGCTGTAAAGAATATCTTGTGTTATCTCAAAGAACCCCTTTTTTCTTCAAAGCACCTGAAAGCAAAAAGGGCAAGATGAGGCTTGCACTTGCAATGGCTGACAACTGTCAGATCCTGCCCCACTTCTGGCTCTCCCAACAATGGATTTCTCTACGTGGCAGTTTACAGAAAACTTCCTGGGACAGCATCCTCAGCTAAGAATTGGGACAAGCTATATTTTTCAGAAATTGCACTGCCACAGCACAATTCAGAAGGTTTTTTGTCAATTTCCCTTTATTTCTGCTATTTGCATGAATGACCGGGGAGACCGAACAGCCCCACCTACCGCCCCCCTTCTGCAAAGCAGCTCTATCTAACAGGCTAGCCTACCTCATTTTTAAAAACAGCTATAGAACTGAGTACATAAAAAAATATACTAGACAGACTTTGTCATAATTTAAAAAAAAGAAAAAAACAGAAGCCATTACAGATTTTCAGCCTGTTTAGGCTTTTTTCATTTGTTCAGTTTCTTCCCCCCTCCCAGTACTGGTTCTAACACCAGTGCAAATAAACAACTATTTACTCTCCAGCTGCCTTCTCCCCATTTTTGCTTGCTACAAACCCTCGATTTCTTTGCCAACAGGGATCTGCTCCCATTTTTGTCAAACCTCTTTTCAACGTGGCCCCACCTCCACCTCCTTAAATCTGCAGAGACTGTGCCATCATCTCTCCCTGATTGCCATTTCAGCACTTTCTTTCTTAAAAATCAGCAAAGGGTTGAAGAAGAAAGAAAAAAAGGTATATCCCTTTCTTTCCTCCATCTTTCTTCTACTTTTGAAAGGAGCTACAGCATCATCAGGAGCAGCCATTCAGATATCTCCATTAGCACATTAAACAAGCAGGCATATAAAAATGCCTTGGGTATGGGTATTCAACTCCCTCCTAATACTGTATCTCATTCCCTCTAAATTTTAAAAATTCTGTAAATGTATATGCAAAGGCTTGCATCTATTCATGAGGCAGGCAGGTAACAACCTCAAGTCTGGGGGTAAAGATTAAGAAACTCGCTTTAGATCAAGCTACAAGCCAGCGGCAGAGGCAGAAACTAGGAATCCTAACTATCGGTTCCTTGACCTCCAACCCAACAGCACATTTCTTTTTTCCACATGGAGAAACATCCTTTCCACACTAAAACCCAGTTCCTAAAAACAGAATCTACTTATCAGCTTCAGCTTCTCCTTATAATCTCTATTTTGATTGTGTAAGAAGTCTCACAGAACACAAAACCTGCAATTTACCCTATTAACCCAAACATCTTAACAATCCCTCCCACATTCTCAAGAAAATGGTCTGTAGGAGGAAAGCTTGCCTTGCAGACAGATGCACAAGAGCATTAAGCCCTCAAGTTGGATATCATTTCCAGAATTTTTCCCTGAAAACCAGCTCCACCCATTTCAATCTAAAAGACAGCCTCAGACAATGCTGGGTGTGCATGGAATACTTCCTAATCCACGAGAGCATCTACTGCAAAATAAGTATAGTATACGTAAGGGAAAGAGCAGATTTTCAAATGTCTTCAGAATGACCCGTTGAAACGCAGCTTTCACTCGAAGCTACTATGGTCAATGTAAGTACAGTCTTTCAGTAACTCTTTAAAAGATTTGTGAAATGAAAAGGAAAAAATCACCATAAACGTAACCACATAAAACAGACTCAGAGAGTTAAAAGGGTGGCATCAAAGTAAAAACTCAATGACAAAAACCAAATTAATTGTGTATCACACCAGCCAAGCAGACACTGCTGCATCCACTGCAGACAGAAGCTGTGTGGAGCAGATTCTCAGCAATTCACAGAGGGAAGGGAATGCTCACCTCAACTTTGAGCGGCAGCATCCCTGCATTGCTTAAGCTCGGCTTTACCCTGCCATCCCCACAGCAGCCTAGCCTCCTCCCCTCCCCATCACATGCAAATGCATTTCCTCCTGCATTCCTCAAATCTGTAAGGCACCTTTAGCAGCTGTTCTAACAAAAGCATCCACTGTGCTACTTTTCTCCTTCACATCATACGTGAATATGTTTTATTGACGTAACAGGGAGGAATTCAGCCAATCAGATCAGCTGTCTACAGAGGTCTGCAAATCTTCTCTGACGACCACTCTTTCTCCCTTGAAGGGGTCTTCTCTTCACACAGAGAGCCTTAGAGACCTCCAGGAAGGAGAGACTGGTCTCCATTGTCCATTTACTCTGTCCTGTCTTCAACACCCAAAAGCAAGAGAAAAATGGACTAGTCTCTTTTTCATGATGATGTATTTTCCCCTCAGCTGAAACAAGAAACCAGTTATTAGGAGACACCAGCTCATTTAAGTATTATTGTTAAATATGGAATGTAAAAGATATCTAGTATGCAAAAAGATCGTTCCATGTCCTTTCTATTCAGAATGTAACCGCCTTGCAATTGGAAAGACTACGTTGTTTCTTCCCTATGGGAGCGACGGATGGAATCCCAGATTATTTTGCAGCATTAGGAATCAATCTGATGTAGCTATCTCAACTGCTCAACCTGTGCTCTGATGCCATAGCACACTCTCACTGACTACAGTGCGATCTGGGAAACAAGTCAGTGGAACAATTACGACCATCAGCCTCTCCCAGAATCACCTCTTTTTCTAAAAAAAAGAGGACCGTCTGCCTCAGCTACAAGCACTATGCAGCTAACACAACTCCATGCATTTCAGCAGCTAATAGAGAGGTAAAACCTAATCTTAGTTTTAGCATACCTATAGGCATGTTTAATCCCTGCAGCTCAGATAATGATAATAAAAACCTCATGGAAGTGAGAAGGGAAGAGCAAAGAGACTGACAGCCATGACTGCCATGGGAAATGGAGAACTAAGAATAAAATAGCTCCAAGCACTCACCTCACTACGAATAACATGGCACCTCCACATCTATCATTAATGCGTATCCCTT